AGAGTTAATTAGTGGTTGGATAAGTTGAGTTAATATTTTTTTTTTTTTTTTTTTTGAGGGATTGTGGAAGTAAGATTAGATTGGGTTAAGTTTTTCTTTTGGGAGGATTATGGGTTTTATTAGTGATTTGGCAGAGTTGGGTTGTGCTTTCTTTCTTTCCTTTTGGCTTGTAAGGACTTCTGCAATTTGCGTGGAGGGCTTTTTGCAGGTATTGGCGTTCCTGGTCCCATTCTTGAGGGGGTTTGTGTACCGTGCATGCCTCTCTGACACCTGTAATGGCTAAGGGAGGCGCCCGTATCAACAGTGTTGGTAACATTCTTTGAGGAAAACGTGGCTGCAGGTACTGTGCACCTCTCCTGACCTTATTAGCTGGGGGAGGCGCCCATGTCAACAGTGTTGGTAACATTCTTTGAGGAGAGGGCTTGTGTGCAGGTACTGTGCACCTCTCCCCCGACATGACCAGCTAAGGGAGGCGTACACGTCATCTGTGTTAGTATGGGATGGAGTAAGTTAGGTGTTGTTTTGGGAGGGAATGGTAAGGTGAGGTTAGTGAATGGTTGAATGGTTATTTTTTGTTTGGGTGGGATTACTAGTAACGGCTTTCAGTGTATTAGGTTTTTTTTATTTTGGGGGATTGTTAGGGGTTTTTCTTTTGTTTTTTTTTTGGTGGGGGAGTGTTAGTGCAGGTTGAGTGAGTTAGTGCTCTTTTTTTTATGCAGGAGTGGTCTTTGAATGTGAGTTTGGGGGCGTGGGGTTTAGATTGAGGGGGGTGAGGAGGGAGGTGGTTGTTCTGTATTGCTAGGGCAGAGTCAGGTTAATGAATTTTATTTTTTTATTTGTATTTTTTTATTGGGTAAGTCAGGTAGGTTAGGTTAGGTTAGGTTGAGTGGGTTAGGTTGGGGGGAATGATTGGGTGTGGGTTGAGGAGAGGTGTTAGGTTTAATTTGGGGGGAGTTGTTGGGTGTGGTTATAGGGAAGTAGGGGTTTGATATGGGAGTTATTATATAAGGGAGGTGGGAGGGGTGTGTTTGGTCTGTTTAGTATGAAGGGATTTCTGTTTCTGAATCTGCGTGGGAGTATGATGTTGTCGAAATAATCCTGCCATTGAGGGTGTAGTGAGGAGTGATTCTATTTGTTTGTCTCCTAGTTGTCTCCAGTAGATGTTGAGTGGAGGGAGGGAGCTGAGTTCATGTAGATGTCTATTTATGAGTTTTTGGCCTGTGATGGTGCTGCTAGCTGGAGTGTGTTAGGTGCATAAGTCAATAGTGGGCGTATGAGGGCTTTGAATAGGTGTGTTTTGGTTTTGATTGATGTGGTTCTGAATCTGTATATATTCCCGAGTGTTTTGTTTGCGATCGAAGCCTTCATTTTGGTGTGTAGTGTCATGGTGAGGGTGTCGTTGAATGTGACTCCTAGGATTGTGTTTGTTCGTTTGACAGTTATGGGTGAAGGGTAGGCGATGTAGGGGTTTAGGTAAATGTGACGTGGTTGGCGCCTTTTGGTGCCGAAGTAGGTGATTTGTGCTTTGTTGGGTTGGTTTGTATTCGCCATCGGAGTTCCCATTGTGTAACTTGTTCTAGCTCTCTGTGTGCTTTGTCTGTTAGGTGATCAAGGCTAGTGTAGTGTCTGACTAGTTGGGTTACATCGTCGGCGTACTGTATTGTCAGAGAGTCGATGTGTAAGGGGTCGGGTAAGTCATTTGTGTAAAGAATGTATAGTGTTGGGGACAGGACTGATCCTTGTGGGACTCCTGCTTGCAGTGTGAAGTGGTCAGAGTAGGCAGGTGTGAATTTTATCCTCATTTTTCTGTCTGTTAGGAAGTTGCATAGTAATTTTTGTGATTTTTGAGGGAGGTTAAAATTGGTGCATATTTTATACTTTAGTCCGTCGTGCCAAACTGTGTCGAAGGCTTTTTGTACGTCTTTTGTAACGAGTGCTGTCTTGTATGCACCTTTGTTCATGTGGAGGTAGTTTGTCATTATATTGAGTGCGTCTTGAGTTGAGTGGTGTGCTCTGAAGCAGAACTGCTTGTAGGACAGTAGTTGTTCATCTTCAAGGTGGTATCTGAGGCGGGTGGTGTATAGTCTTTCAAAAGTTTTGCCTAAGACTTCTAGTATGCTGATCGGTCTGTAGTTTTGAGGATCTGTTGGGTTTTTGTTTGGTTTAGGTATCATGATGGCTGTGGCTGTCTTAAAGAGTTTTGGGAAGTCCAGGCATGGCCGTATTTATACAATTTACGAGGATCAGGATTTGGGGTGAGCGTAGCGAGAGGGCCAATCACAGAGGAGGAGGCCACCGGCACTCTGGTCCTAGCGTTGCCTCGTGGTCTAGGTCAGCAACCAGCGCCGCCTTACATGACTGAGGTCAACTATTAAGCCACGTCTACCTCAGCTATATAAGACCTGACCTCCTGGTGACCTAGCTCTCTTTCTACCTACACCCAGTCTTCAAATAACACCACCTCCTCCGCTCCTGCCTGGCGGCCCTCGCTCCCGCCGGCGAGCATGGCGACCCACAAGCTGGTCCTCCTCTGAGCATCCTCACCAACCAGCTCTCTCTACATCACGCTTGTAACCATGCTGCCTTCCCAGCACCAAGCTGCATTGTACATCCAATACAACATGTATACATGAGAGCACATTGTGAGTTTCCTTTCTCCATCCCATCCTGAGTGTGAACCAAACATCATGAACCCCACACGCTGATTGGCTGGTAGGCGCGCGGGGGCTCAGTCGTCCCTTGTAGGGGATGGAGTCTACTACAAGGGTTCCTAATCGTCATGAAATTTCAAGTTTTGTTATTTTTATATTATTAATTTTGAGCTACATTCTTGTCTTTGCACCTTTTAGGTAGGGATTTCATATGATAACAATTATTACCATTAATAGCCAAATCTCAACAACAACCAGTCGTACATGCATCCATTAACACAGCCACTATCACACCCACAACTACCCACCGTCACTAATATGTTTGCCACCACTATTATAAGTCAACCAGCTTATCACTCAACTACTACAGGATAATATCATCAACTACAACTACTGTGATTACTATTACCACAACTACACATACCAACATGATCTCCGTAATCACAACCAATGACTGTACAGTACTGAACTACACATACCAACATGATCTCCGTAATCACAACCAATGACTGTACAGTACTGAACCACACATACCAACATGATCTCCGTAATCACAACCAATGACTGTACAGTACTGTACCACATTAGACAACAATGAAGTTTGTTTTGTTTTTGTTTTTTAGTGAGTGTTCTCACTGGGTTGTGCTGTTGTAGGTTACTGTAGTTCTCATTGTGATCAAGTTTAAATACATTTCGCAGAAGTCACATTTTAACTCGACATTAGTTGGCAGAAGGAGGGTATAGAGTTGCCAGGGGAAGGCAATCAAGATATAATGCCTTATGTAATCATGATGACGTGCCAGGCCCTAGGGGGAACCTGACAGATGAGTAAGCTCAGATGGCAGGTGCGTATGGTTGTTACAGTGCAGTTACACAGACTGTATCATACAGTATGTGTAACTGTACTGCACAGTCTGTATGTAGTTGGTTATATATAGAGTATATACTGTATATATCAGGGAAGCCTGGTTGGATGCAGTATCGCATTGTGTATTGAAGGCTTAGTATAGGTATTACAGTGTGCTGTATCCACGCTGTCTCTAACGGGCAGTCATGCCTACGGTACCCACTTTCACCTTCAAGTGCTTCATAGGATGTGGTAAGGGAAGCGAAAACTAATAAGTGAAAATTAGTGAAAGTCGGTTTGTTCATATCACCCTAATTTTTGTTTTCGACATTGATAAATATTTGGACCTTGACTGCTGCTAGTTTGGCGGACAATTTTCGTCTTACTTTGCTCAATATTTTATGCTTAATGCAATGGAGATAGTTTTTTTTTTGTGGAAAAGATAAAAAAAATCAATTTCCAAGTTGAGAATCACAAAAAAACGCACGTTTTTTACGTTACTATGGCCTTTTTTCCCTTGAAAAGCAATAAATATTGAAGAACTTGAAACCGAAATTGTCGCTGATTCTTACCTGCAAGCATAACTAGGGGCACCGCCCCCCCCCCCCCCACCCATTTCTAACTTAACCAATCATAACCTAAACTAACCTTGACTAGACTAACCTAACCTAACCTTATCAATCATAACCTAACCAAAACAAGGTAAATATTTGAACATTGACTGTTGCTAGTTTGGTGAACAATTGAGTGTCTACTGCGGAGAATGATCAACAGTTCAGAGTGGATGGGACAATTCCATCTTAGTCGATAACTTTCCCCGCTGACAAAAATTACTTCCATGACAAAAATCACTTTCAGGTATTAATCATTTCTACGACACATTATAGTATAGTATTTCCTAAATTGATCAGATCATCCTCACTCTAAAAATATTAGTGGGGAATATGAATGTAACAACAGTCAAGGTCCAAATCAAAGACTATATAGTCTTTGGTACAAATATTCGCCCAGACATTTTCCTAGATAACATTGGCGTCCTTCAAACTGAAATTGCAAATTCACATGGTTGTTAAATGCCCAATTGACGCGCGGCGTACATTTCATACAATAATTTTGGTGTAATGGAAAGTAGCTTATATAATTAGTAATGGGAATTATTGACAATGTACAGTATGGAAATTACCAGTGTAACCCTCCTAACATGACGTGTACAGTGGTTCACTCAGGCCTTGCCAGATAGTCAACTGATATACTGTACAGTATCTGTCTTATTATAAGAGCATAGTCCAATCACTGTACTTTATCTTCGGTAAGATTAATCTCTTCAGTGTGTATCAGCAGTATTCCCTTAGTTACTCCCATAGTTTTTCTCTATTGCACTGACTTAAGTATAATATATATATATATATATATATATATATATATATATATATATATATATATATATATATATATATATATATATATATATATATATATTAATGATGATTGTTATTTCTAGATATAGTAAATTTAACTCTATAGACTGACAGCAGACAAAACACATGTAGGTACTTCTCACTGGCTCATAAGTCAAAAGTGATTGGATCATAACATAACACAGCCTTTACTAAAACTACGTACAATTGGGCTTTCAATGTATTACTCAAATGATCTTGGAAGATCTCAACAAACATTAGGTATATGTATCTTAATGCTACACATACGAGCTCAGTCGTAATTCGTAAAATCCATACTGCAAGTAGTTTCTGTGAAGGGGGTCATAAAAGAGAGAATTTACATTTTACAGAATACTTGAGAAAGACGTTTGCGATGTTTTATTGATGATGTAACATAATATAAATCAAAATAAATTGCAGATAATGTTGTAAGTACTAATGTCCTCAGTAAAGGTGATAAAACAAATATTGATTTTTCTGAAGTATTTCGATAACTCATTATATTTGGCTTCTTGTGATTTCCTAATTCAATACAATACACACTGACATTACTTTCATCTCCCAATTTAAAAAGTTACATTTAGAAAATGTCACACAACCGGATCACAGCGGTCCGTCCACCTGAACCCTTGGGCTCACGTACGTAAATAATACAGTAAAATATATAATTAAAAGGACACAGTAACAGCTCATCGGCCCTCTTCTTGGGTAAATCTTTTGTGCCCCAGCTTATAAATCACAATTGACACTAATCTTTGTCATCCGTATATTCCTAATGTCTGCCGGCATTTTAATAAGTATATGGTCCAGCCAATGTTCTGCTGCCCTGCATGAATATGGTGTATTTCTTTGTGTATGAACCTCTGTCCTGCGTGGCAGTGAGAAGTGATACCACCCTCAGTGTCAAGACCTGACTGAATTACTCAGAATAGGCAAACTGTACTCCAAGCTTTGTCACAATATTGTTCATGAGGACTTGCAGCAGATTTTTGCAACAAATTTGATCAGTAACAAAAATAGCTCAGAATATGAAATTATAAACTGAAAGACTATCGGTTGGAATGAATATTCAACATAAATAACACGAGCCTTTTAAAATGACACTTTTTAATACTTTTTACTTTTATCCTCTTCACCAGCCGCTTGGGTGAACGGTCACGTCTTTGGTACGCAATGTTTTTGTGTAATGTTTTCTCATGATTTTTTTTATTTATGCAGCTATACAACTTAATAATAAACATTTATTTTGGTGGGGTTGTGACAATTATAGTCCTGTTGTTGATCAGCAGATAAATCGTCATGGTGTCTTTATTTATACTGTAATTTCTGATAGCTCATTAATGAAGACAACCAGTAACTAGGATTACTCTATATAATTGCTTGATCTTGTCAATATGAAGTAGTGTTATAGGGGAGTCTCGTGGCCTCTTTCATTGCTCGTGGCAAGTCTGTTAGAAGGTGCCATTAACGACTAGACATTTTTGTTTCTTTTTATATTGAAATTATAGATAATATCTGAATTTAAATGACAGCTATAGTTATTTTTATTTGTAATTATTTTTATCGTAAAGTATATGTTGTGAAGCTTTTAATGACATATTAATTTATAGTTTTATCGGTGTGGCAACATGAGGATTGAGAGGCGGAGCGCCGGTCGGTGATGCAGGTCAGACGGGACGGGAAGCAGCAGCAGACGCCACTCGCCAGCAGACTTTTGCAGTAGCCGGCATCGACAGCTCAGTTTTCACACGTATTCCTGACCCTTTCCTGCATCATGTCTCTAGAGGAGGTATTGTCTTAACATTTCCCATTATTGTATTATTGTTTGTGGTGTGTAGACATCTTAGAAAACAATATACCCGGTACCAATTAATGAATCATGACGTTATTGAATGTGTTGCGTGACAAAGGACTGCATAAGGTGGACAAATAGCTTGGTCATTCAAGTTGAGAGAGAAAGTAGTGGTATAGGATTATGTAATTTAGGTCGGCAACTTTTGAATCCTTTGACATTTCACAAAAAAAAATGTATCCAGTTATTGACATCAGAACTGACTAACCTAAATAGCCCCAGTGTTGTAACTTGCATTTATTTCGTACCATATTACAATAACTTAAGCATAATTGACAGTGTGCATCATCGTTTGTATGTATGTGAAGTATTATAACGAAAGCCTTGTATCACAGTTGTCTCGTGTACAAGGGAGTGTTCATCAATACTTGGCATTCCTGGTACAGTCGGGTAAGCTATACATAAATCAGGGGGAGGGCGGGTTTAGTGTCGGTGTTGGAGGTTGATTTTGTCTTATAAACAAATCATAATGTAGAAAAGCAATTGTGACAATCTATAGAGGCATGCTTGGCCACTACAGTACATGTACTATATATTCTTAATTCTGTCCATTTAAACCCAGTTCCTTCTGGTCAAACTTGTCCCTAACACGGTCATTACTCCTCTCAAGTAACATTACAACCTCACAGAATATAACCCTTCACAACTTTGTACACCAGCCATGTTCCTTGACTCATAATACAACCAACAAACTCAAGAGGATCATCATGTTAATAATTCAGAATGGGCACCTTTAAATCTTAAATAGCAGATATGATACTGGATGTTTATGTTCCTTGCTGTCCATTTTTACACCTGTGAGGGTGAAGTACCTGTAGGAAATCATTAGCTGCCAGCAAAGGATTAGATCGGTAGTTTGGGGGATTTTGTTTATGCAGGTAGAACATATACAGTACAAAACTGAAAAGAATTTTGAATTTACTAAGGAAACATCAATGGCAACCATGCCTACAGTGCTTCAGTTATTTGACAAAAAATATGATTTTAGCTGGAATAAACCTCCATATACAGTACTCTGTGGCTTGTATTTAACAGTACAGTACTAATTGGTCTGTTTCTTGTCAAATCTGGGACATCAGTGAAGATTGTCAGTTCTCCAAACTGCTGTAGGTGTGGAGGCCACAGTTAACTTGCAGTCTCAAGTAATTTCATCAGTCACTTGTTCAAAATATTGAAACCAAAGCTGTAGATTACATGTATAGTGCCTTCAAATGATAAGTGTCAGCTCATTCTTGTCAGTATAGTGCAGAGAATGCTGAAATTTGTTTGCAGAGAAACTCCAAAGAGACATGGCATGGAAAGTTTATTGCTAATACAGCAGTTCCAAAGTAAGGAAATTAAACTGCAATTGCCTTTGTCTGTTTAAATTACTCTGCCCAATATATAAAATACAAAAACCAGTCTCGGGCTGGAGATGTTGGAAAACAGCCAGTGGCTACAGTACGGTACTGCTGTTGATGTAATTTGTCCACACCCAGTTGTCAGTTGATGCTGTCTATTTATATTTTGATCCCAGGGAGAAAGTTGCATAATTTTATTACTGTGTTCCCAGTGGCGGCTCGTGACTAATTCGTGGGGGTGCTGCTTCAAAATTTTTTGAAGAATTGTTTTAATATTGTGTAAGACACACGCAGAAATACAGTAGGTATATATATATATATATATATATATATATATATATATATATATATATATATATATATATATATATATATATATATATATATATATATATATATATTATATATATATATTATATATATATATTATATTATATATTATATATATATATATATATATATATATATATATATATATAAAACGATAATAATAATAAAATAATAAAAGTATGGTAAAAATACAAAAAAAACATTTAGCACTTACAGATAAAATACTCCAGTCTAGCTTCATCCAAAGTTATTTAAAAGTAAAATCCATTCTTCTTGTTTTCTTTTGAGCGAAAAAGTCAACAACTTTCTCATTGATGTTTGGATGACTGTTAAAGAAATTTTTCTCCGTTGAAATCATTGCAAGTGCATTTAGCCTTTCCTGATTCATTGTGCTCCTCAGAAAAGTTTTTATTCCTTTGAATGTTGAAAAGCAGCGTTCAGGCTCTGATGTAGTCATAGGAATTGTCAAGAGGATTTTTATCAGTTTCGTAATCTCACTAAGAACACCATCAAAATTATTTTCCAAGATAAATTTCAGCAGGTCAATTAACCTGCAATATTCATGCATATCGGACCTACTGTAGAATACTCTAAGTTCAGTTTCAAATTTTTCTTTGTCAATCATGGGATATGCTTCAGTGGTCAATCCTATCTCTTCTGTAGGCAGTTTATTCTTAAAACTAGTGAAGCTTTTCTTGTTGAATAATTTAGCAGCTAATAATTGTTTAGTGAAACAATATCTCTCCACTATATCAACACATATGCAGTCACATACTTCCTTTGCTTCAGCCATGAGCGTCTTTGAAGGATTCTCACAGTACTTTGAGTTTATTATTTCTAAAACAGCAGTTTTGAAATTTGTTATATATTCATGTACTTTAAACACATCAATTTCTAGAGACTGGATTTGGTTGTAAATAACTTCAACATGAGGCATGATCTGATGAAAAAGCTTCAACCAGAACATGATTTTTTCATTATTCATTTAGTGCAAAATTCCTGTTGTTTTTGAAATGGTTCTATCTGCATTTACCGTCGACTGGATTTCAGCAAGGCAGCTTTTTAAAGGTTGCAAACTTTCAAGAACTTTGTTCACGGTCCGTATGTTAAAGTTCCACCTGGTAGAGGATGGGCGCGGAATGCTGACGTTCATATGCTTATTGAGAATGGATACACGTTGTGGTGAGCTTGAGAAAAATGTTGGTATAGCCAAAACGTTAGAGAAAAATATTCTTGAGTCCCGTGTAATACTTGCTGCATTTCTCATTATCAGATTCAGTTGGTGCGCTTAACAGTGAAAGAAATGTGCATTATTATAAACTGCTTTTATTTTTTCCTGAACGCCCCCTTTTTTGCCTTTCATGACATTTGCACCATCAAATGTCTGAGCTATCAGTTTAGTCTATTTCCTTGAAGGATTATATCTAACTGCTCTAGAATACATTTTGATATGCCATCTGCAGTTTGATTTTCTGGAATAAAGAATCCCCCAAAACGCTCAAATATTTCTTCATCCAGCACGTACCGTAGAACAATTACCATTTGAGTGTGTTCTGAAACATCTGTTGTGTCATCAGCCATGACAGCTACAAACGAAGCTTCTTTAATCTCTTTCTTTATCTCATCATGGTATATCTGCAGCAGGCAGTCAAGTATCTCATTCTGAATAGTCTTAGAAACACCTGTGAAGACTGCACTTGTTTCTAAATGGTTCTTTAAATCTGGGTCTAATTTAGATACAATATTTATTAATTCCCTAAATATACCTGGATTTACTGAATCATCTTTTTCATCATGTCCACGTAAAGGAATTTCAAAGTTTCCACAAAATGTAATGCAGTCTATTATCTTGGATAAAATTTCCGCAGGTTCTTGGTAACCTTCCTGTTATGCTCGTCGATCCAAGAAGTCTATAGAAGCTACTAAGTTTTTCTTTAATATTTATGCTTCTAAAAGTGATAGTGAAACCACCACTTTCAATATGCTTCTTTGACTTTTCATGTTTTCAGTTTTTCTTTAATTTTGTTTATATTTCTAAAGCCGTCTTTTGTCCAAGTTACATCACTTCCAATTCCAAACAACAAACACAGAAAACAAAATAATGTATTTTTTACTTCACAACCACAGAGCCAATTTTTCGCTGGTACCATTCTGAATGAAAGCTACGAATATACCTCTTACTGTTGCTTGTTCCTGGCTGAGATATTTGAATATCAGGTGTGGGAATGCCTCTTGTCTTAATACAGGTAGTTCTGCTATAACGCGATAATTGTGTTCTTGTAAAATATCGTGTTATAGAAAATCGCGTAATAGAAATAACAGGGCTTATGGAGAAAATAGGGTTAGGTGCAGATTACTCGAAATCGAAAAAATTTAGTAGTTAGCCTAACACAAAGGATAGCACAGTCTAAATAAATGTTACATTCATATCTAATAATGAAATCATACAGTAAATTTAACACTTTACCTTGAAAAA